AATGTGTGAGTGTGGAAAAGGGAGCGGGAGAGGGAGAGGGGACAAGGAGGGAAGAGAAAAACGGAGTAGTCGCCTGACATTCTCAAAACATAGCACTGGAGCCATTCAGTGCAGAAAGCATAGAGCCCTCAGGCCAACCGCGCACCTCAGGACGCCAATGTCCGAAGGAATGACCACTGCACCTCCCCTTCAGAACACCTGCTGGTGTATTCTGGGGACGTCGAGAGTTAACACTGTCTACAGACTGTGTTGAGAAGGTACGCCTGTGCCCGGGGACACAACCCGCCCTGCCCAGCGGCAGGTCCAGGAGGAATGCGTGGACGCAGATGGACCAACACTCGCCATCACCATCAAGGCAACTCATGGAGTGGGAAATAACATTCCCACTGCTCCCAAATCCCTTCCCCTGTTCCAAAGGACCAGAACAAGTATCTGATCCTGGGCTATGGTCACACGGTGCCAACCAGAACCAGGAAACTCGCCATCATTTATCGGTTACAGCCGAGGACATCACGCCTTTGGCTCGCACCCAAAGTGCTAAGGAAGGACTTCTTTTTATATTCATAACCATAAATAAATCAATTTTTAAAAATTTACAACAAAATGTCTATCTTTAACACAATACCTATTTTTTTTAAAAAAATATTTTAAAAAGAGAAAGCACATCCCATGTTAACCTGTAGAATTATTCTGCTCTTTGGCACCCAGAAGCATAGATATGCAAATAAGGGCCCTCACTTTCATTGCGTCCACCTTTCATTTCAATCAAGTTCCTCCCAGAAGGATAGTAACGGGTCTCACGGAATGAAGCACGTTGAAATCGATGCCTTTTCGTACGAGATAACCCACACTCTTCAGTTTTGAATCATACTCCTAACAAGGGGACGATCTCAAATAGCCCATCGCTCACAGCAACTATTCAGAATCTGCATGTGATGCTTTGAGTAACCACGACCACATCGAAGTGTGAAAGAAAGAATGAGAACCGCAGAACCTCAGGTCCGAGGGGGCTCACACGACCTCAGACAATTGCCTACTGGGCTCCCTGAGTTGTCTAACTGCCCCGAAAGTGGCCTGTGTCCAGGCAGCCTCTCCCGTGTGGGCCTCTCTCCTGTGGCTCTGTTTCTTCGCCGACAGCTCCAAGCGCCAGGGAGCCTGCACCCGTGCCCTCCGGTGCCACCGCGGGTACGTCCGTCCTTCGGCCGCACGTCACTTATTTTAAGCCAGTGGCCATTAAACCCCTCAACTCTTCTCTAGGGTGAGCATGTTAATCCTCCTGTGACATCTACAGGGTCCCCCAAATCTAGGTCATCTCTCATGGACACATTCAAAACGTGAGCCTCCCTGTATGGGAACTGGAACTCAACACTTTGGAGGCGGCCGGATTCGCCCAGAGCAGGATGACATCGTTGAGGACTGTCATCCACGGCGGCTCGAACCACACCGTTCGGCCACAGGGTCCGAGTCCCCCTGGTGCCTGACAGGCGCACGAGTCTGGGCTGACGCCGAGCCTCTGCCTCGCGGGGGGCGGCATGTCCTTACCCACACCCCAGCAAAGGGTTTCCGGGACCCCGGGAGGGAGGTCGGCTAACATTTTAGCTCTCTCTTCCACCTTCGGGTCACTTGTGGGTTTAACGAGCATGCGTGACATCCATTTCCTCATTCAGATCAGGGGTGAGTGAGTCGAAGAGGGCAAATCTGAGGTCGGAAGATGCTCCCCCGACGTCGGCCCCTTTCCACGGGCCGTGGCAATCTCGGCACACGCCGAGAATGACGGAAGGCTGCCGGGGCGACTTCGAAACCCGTGCGCGCGCCTCGCGGGCGGCGGTCCTCCTGGGTGGCTCCCGGCTGTCCTCGTCCCTCGCTGCCCTCATTTCGTCTCCGTGCTTGATCTTCACCCAGTTGGGATTTTTTTGACTTTGCCTGTGGCTCCTGACCTCTGACCCGCACTCAGCACTGGCCTATGGTAAACATGTCTCACCCGGGGCCCCACAGGCGCCCGGGGGTCCTGAGTCCACCCGGCGGTCCCCCGCTCTGGGTCGACACTGGCCCATTACCTGGTACTTTCAGGCTGCGCTGCCCGTCCAGGCCCTTGTTTGTTTCTCCTCCCTTCTCATGAAGAAATTTTTAGCTCCTTTCTCAAATCTCTTCCTGAAATCCTGATATAGAGCATCTACGACATTTTTCATTCTGCAATCAAAAGACTGTCTTTAAAAGCTTCGATCATATTTCTGGCAGGACTTGTTCTTCACAAACCTACGCCAGCTCCGTTGGGGCAGAGAATCCCGTTTTAACAACAGACAGATCTTTTAATTAATCCTTTTCAACATCGTGCTGGGAATGATGACAAGTTCACTGGCCGGCTTTTCCAGGAAACGACCTTTCTCTTTGCCTGAAAATCAAAACATTTGCCCAGTTCCAAGCACGGGAGTCCTCTCCTGCTCTCCTCAATTCCTGGGTTTTGAAGCCATTTGGAGGTCAGTCTGTCAGTTCTCCCAGTTCCGGGGTGGGGGTGGGGGTGGTGATTCTTTAAGGCCAGGGGCGACAACAACAAGGCTTCTCACCTCCCTCAGGTTTTCTGTGCTCCATGTGCTAAGGAAACGCCTCGGCCCCAGGCAGCAGGGCCTGCCCCTCCCCGTTCGCTCGGAGCAATACGAGAAACGCTCCCTTCCCTGGTCCTCAGTATTTTACATCCCCTCATCTCGAACCAACCTTGTCCCCCTGCTTCGCTCCACGACAGTGCCGTCTTCTCTTTCACGTCCATCCTGGACGGTGCGTCCTCCCCTTCCGGGTAAGGCCCCTCCCAGAGCGGCGTTTTGCACAAGGCCCGCGTTTCTTTTTCATTAGGATTCGGTGTCGCTTAACGTATGTCAGCAGGATTACATTGTGGAGTTGACTGTCCCTCGCGGCAGCTTCCCTTTCTGAAACGGACCATCGAAGTTATCTCTGAACCCTTTGAAATCTGACTTCCGAAAACCGTTATTGTACAAACGGTAGCTTAGCTACTGTGATCAAGGCCGGTGTTCGCATGTCCTCTTATACATACTTGGTCGTGGCAACGCTAGACTGTGCCTCTGTGATGAGTTCCCACCAGCACCTGGACAAACAGGCATCATTTTCCCCATGTTTACAGACAGACTCAGGGAAATCCGGCCTGTGGCCCAGAGCCACCCAGTGAGTAAATGGCAAAACCAAGACAGGCACAGCTCTGGGTGGCTCCAGACCCCAGATGCTTCCTCGGCCCTGTGCTGTCACGAGCTCTCTGAAAAGTTCTTTTTCTCCCTTTACGACTTCTTTTCCTATGTCGATACATAGTATTTACTTCTTTTTCTAACTATATTTTTAATTTTGACCTTTGTATATGTATTGAGGTGTAACTGACATAATGTTATGTTAGTTTCGGGTGAAAAAGTATACACTTTGCAGTGTTCGATTTTATATGGCAAACGGAATTCTTCTATATTTTTAGGAATTTAAAACAATGCCCAGATTTAGGGTGATAGGTGATTTTATCTTTTCATACTTACCTCTATCTTATACTTTTTTCTACAGTATGCATTAAATGTATGGTTTTTAAAATAGAAATAAGAATAGAAATAGAATATGAACATTCCAAGGCCCAATTTTATCTCTAAAATGGGACAGATACGCTTCCTCCCTTAACATTTAATAAAAGTCAAATGAAATTACAAAAGGGAAGTTCTGCAAAAAGCAGAAGCTTCATGACTGAAATTTTATTATAAATTATAAATTATTATAAAAACAGAGGCACCAAGTCGGCTGAACTGAGACGGGGGTGTGCCGGCCTGCACAAGCTTAGGCCTCTGGGTGGGGTCTCTGCGGACGCTCCCCTCAGGCTTGCATTTTGAGCTGTCAGATGTGCCTAGGAGTGAGGTCTCGCTCCTGAAGGCCTTTGATTTACATCCCCTGCCCTGATCAGCCTCCACACGGGAGCAAATGTGATGGGTATACACAGGTATACAGAGGACTCGGGCCCCCCCCCGGCCTCAGTAAATTCATTAACTAACCAATGTGAATACTTTGGGAGTTTTCCTAAGTATATTCTAACAACTTATGTTGATTAAACGAGCACTATGCAAAATTTAAGTTCGCAGAATGGAAGCAGGGTCTTAAAGGAACTGGACGCCTGGCTTGTCAGGCGTTTGCAGAAGCCTGCCCAAGGCTACATGGTAATGACGGAGTCCAAGACCGTAACCTAAACTCTCTGTTTTAAAAACTTAATCTAAATGGTTTTTAGATAAACTCCTGAGTCAGTTTAAATTGCTTAATTCTCATCAAGGCCGGTCTGCTTGGAAATCAGATGCTTACAGTATATCGCAGAAACGGGAACACTTTTTCTCGGTTGAACAGTTATGTAGATTTAAATGCATATTTCTCAGTTTTAAAAGTTATATAGATCAATGGCTTGGCAGCTGGCTGGAATAATTCTGAAATTTAAAAATCTGCAGGGTGCATCTGTTAGCAGTTTTGGGTTTCTACCGCAGACTAACAATTTGGTGATAGCAAGCTGTCTTCCAATTAATGTTCCAGAGAACATTTCACTTCAAGATTTTTAGAACGAGAGCCAAGATTTTCTGGGATTCAGTTACATGAAGCATCATCACAGTTTTTGCCTTTTACAAATTCTTCACATCCAGGGTTAACATGCAGTACGTCTTGAAAAATGTTTTGTTTGATTTTTCTAAAAAGCTGAACTGAGACTCTTTAATAGGTGACCTGCCTTTCATCTCTCCTAACCTAATGGATAAAAACATTTAAAAAACCACCATAAAAACATTTAAAGCCACCACCACGCGATATTTACATCATTCCCTCTCTCAAAATTATGAAACTTTCCCTTGTGTTTTTACCCTTAGGAAACTTGGACTCAGACCTTACAAAGGCTCACTGTCCCGTTCGGTTTTCTTAGGCTCGCTCCCCCCGGGCCATCTCTGTGCGAAATCACACCCCCTACCATCTCCAAAAACCATGAGACTAACCTTCCTTATGCAGCCTTTCGGATGAATCCCTCTTAGCCGCCAGACCGGGATCCCATGGAGTCACATGCAACACTGGGTACACACTGGTGTCCATGTTTTCCTGCCTTCTGTTACTATGACACTCGGAGCTTCTAAACGGATGACAGCATTTATTCTCTAGCACCCAACACAGTGCCTGGACACTCAATCATCTGTTGGGCGAACAAATAAATAAACAAAGCCTAAAGCCAAACAATGACCAACACGTGCTCATTCTTTATAGTTAAAACTTTTCCTTTTTCTGTACTATTTCAAAGAATAATGGAGAAACTCTCAAAATCTATATACTAATACTTTTTTTTTTTTAATTTGAAAACCGAAAAGAAAAACTGGTAAAAAAAAAAAAAAAAAGTCTCACGCTCTGGCATTTTCTGCCTCACGTCATAGCTTCTGGTTTATAATTTGTCAGCTTTATGGAACTATAAGCTATGGGCATGGGACATATGAATATGGGATTAATGTCTTACTCAACTTCTTATCAACTATAAAACCTGTGTAATGTCACATACAAGCAGCAAAATAATTATTTCAAGAAATGCCTAGAAATCTGGGCAGGACATTCTTTACTTTCCCTGAATGAACAAGAGAGAACAAAGCAGCAAATAATTATTTCAAGAAATGCCTAGAAATCTGGGCAGGACATTCTTTACTTTCCCTGAATGAACAAGAGAGAACAAAGCAGATAAAGAGATACATTTATACACATAAGACTATTACTAGGATTAGCACAGGTACAAGGGGCGAAATATAGAGAAAACGAGGAGCAGGAGATGTGTATGAACCTCTTGGACAGAAAAAGCAGGACGTGAAGTACCGTTTGTACGTGCCGATCCAGGCAGGCCCCCACACGGGCCACCATGGACAGCGCGGTGGCCAGGGAGAGTTAGGTGGAGAATATTGAAGGTGACTAGTCACTTGGTCTCCGGGACAGTCAGCAGTCAAATGTTTATAGCTCTTGGAATGCTAAACCTCTACCGTGTGAAGTCAGATATATGTAGGCAGTTAAAAAACAGTAACATTTTTGCCCAAACTGTTGTCTAACACCGTCTATACCGGATTAGAACGGGCATTGAGTCAATTTCCCTTCCTTTAAGCTCTAGGTTGGGATGTGTATTTTTACCATTACAGCAGAATGTCTACTGAAATGCCTAAAATATGTGGCAGGTACTCAAAGAATGCTTTCTTACTAAATCCTCAACCTTTAGAATATTCTAGGACTGCTTCAGGTTGCCATGATGGACGGAGTCTTCATTCTGCTGCCGAAGATGCTCCGTCCTCGGAACAGACTATAGCAAGCAGAGGTTTAACGCTGACGTGCGGGCTACATTTCAGAACCCTGGGGAAGCAGGTCTCATCACAGGCGATGCCACTGACGGAACACGGACAAAGCATATGCTGGCACTGTCTCAAGAATGGGGTCCCCTGTGATCCTCATATTTTTGCAGGCAGCCTCCTGCATGAGGAACAGGCTCCGGGATGCGAGGCGTGCAAGGCGGGCGGCAGAGCCAGATCCGAACCCCAATCTTCCAATGCTCTTTTTACTCTATGCCAGTGACTGCGAAAATCCAGAACCTGGGTGTGACATCTGTTACGGAAGAATGCCACTTCCCCAGCTGGGACTGTTAAGAAATATCAATTAAAATGATACACTAACTCCTTGCCCCAAACTAGAGGGATCGTGGCTAAAGTACTATTATTTGCAAAGCAGGCAGAGTAAGAAGAAATCCCACGTCCCTTTCCCACCTCCCTCCTTCCCCTCAGTGGCTCGGTGGTATATAAAGCTAATAAGCCACATGCAAACACATCTGCCAAGCAGCAGGAAACAAACCTACAGGCCACGCCCACTCCTTCACTGTCAGGGCTTTTTGGCATTGTGTGTCACATTCCACCAGCAAGTATTTCCAGTGACTTAATCTCCACATCCACTGCCCACGGCCCTCACGCAGGCCACTCCGTCCTCGCCCTGCCCCTGAGGATGACTGCGGGTCACTAGCCAGCACGCCTCCCAGAAGCATCTACCCCGTTACCCTCTGCTGGTCCCACCCAACATTATCGTCCTGGGTTCTGCACTCATCACCTCCAGCCGTGTACCTCGCTTCCCGCTCCACTAGGTCCTGTTTCTACATTCCACTATGGAGGTGCAACGCCCACTATGGAGGTGCAATGCCGTTTAAAAAAAGAAAGGGGGAGAGAGAGAATGTCCCACCCCAAACACAAACACGCACAGTGTTTCCTTGCCACAGTCGAGTGGTTTTTCTCGTAAAGGGAGGCGTTCATTTACTTAGTGCTCCCTTACATTTCGTAAATACAGCCAAGGCTAAGTTTTAATGTATACAGTCAACCTAATAGAGCACTTATGATGACAGGCGATGAATATTTTCAGCTAAGTATAATGAGGAGTGGTAATTTTAAATAGACTTTCCTTGGGGAATACGAAGAATGTTCAGGGCTTTCCAAAAAAGTATCCTTTATAAACCACTTGCTGCCAAGTGTTTCCTGGCTGCCCAGCTGCCCTGGAGAGTGACGGTGACCACTAACGGCTGGCTGGGTGACCGTGGGTTCCCGGACTTGGGAGACAGGTCAAAATGCAACCCACACCCAGTTCCCATTTAGATTCTCGAAGGACCATCGAATCTGATATATACAAAATAGCTTCTGTTTGCTCATCAGATAGGAATAGATAGAATACACGCACGCACGCGCGCGCGCACACACACACAGGCTGACGTAACATGAAAAATGAAACATACATCCTAATAATTGTCATCTAGAACTATGCGAGACTTAGGGGGTGGGCAGGATGTGACTGCTTCTAGACGGGGTTACTAAAGGTCAGAAGGTCGGAAGTGATCTTTTAGGGAAAACTAAAGTTTGCTCTGGGGTTCATCATCTTCCAAAGTCAAAACCAAGCTCTTTTCTTTTAAGAGGTAAGGTCAGATACTTCTTTTCCCTATCATCCATTAATCCTTCCTGAATATGCCATGGTCCCCTGCGGGCCAGATCCTTCCCACCCACAGGTCTCTCTTCCTGTCCTCCCTCAAAGCCAGCTTGTGGCTTGGCCCTACAGAGATTCCTGCCGGGCGCCCTGTCGGCAGGCGCCTGGGGTGGGTAGAGGGGAAGGGGCTCCTAAAATGTTATTTAAAGAGATTTTTCAGGCTCTAGTGTACAGGAGGCTTCAAAAGAAACAGCTAAATAAAACAACAGAATGAGTACTCAAGTGCACACCAGGACCGAGCTAGACGGGACCTGCACCATTTCCTGTCAGCCCCAAACAGCCCTCTGGGAAACGCGCAGCTGCGACATTCCTGTTCCACATGACCGGCTCTAGGCTCAGACAGTTCAAGTGCCTTCCCTGCCACCTCGATGCTAATCCGGGGCAGACACCGAATGTGAATCAGATCAACCTCAAAGGCCCGTGTATTTCACAGGACATGATAATGCCTATTTTACACGGAGCAATCTTTGCAAAGTAAAAACAGCCTTGCTACTGCTTCCGTTCAAAAAAAAAAATTAACTTTCTTAATTACGCTGGAAGAACTTCAAAATGTTTTCAAACGACAAAGATAATTAAGTAGTGCACATTCGGAAAGTCATTCGGGGTAGAGAGAGAGAAAAGAAAGGTACTCAACATTCTACATACGCGAGAACGTCAAGGCCCCAGCCACACCCCTCGTGTGCCTAGAATTTAAGAAGTTGGTTCCTTGAAAATCCACCAGAAAAAGTAAACCAGCTTTATAGTTAAATGTGAATTTCTAGTTGTGTTTAGACATAAGTACTAACTTGGAAAGAAAACAGATGACTAGTCTATAATACACATTAAATCTCAGTTATCTACAATGTTGAGAAAAGGGATATTCCATATAATTTTTCAGAACTATGGTTATACACAGAACATAAATCAGATTCCATCCTTGATGGCACATCTGGACACAATAAAACGCATATTATGGCTTATTATGCTTGCTCTCAGTTTTCTGTCTTATCTCACAGGTAAAGCTACCAGCTGTTACTGCTCGCTGCTGTCCGCTCTGCATGAGATGCTCGTCCAGTTGCTGGACTAGATGGTGAAATTTCTTGCTCTACCAGGATCTTGTCAGCCTCCTCTCTGTAATTATTGTAGACTAGCGGAACAGGTGACCAAGACTCTTCGAGCAACTCTGACCCATGAACCTAAGTTCGTTCCCTTAGGAATGCATGGGCTCCTAAGAAACCTATCCGCGTTCATGCAGACGGGGAGTAAGCTGGACCTGCAGGCCGTGTCCTTCGATCTGCCTGTGCACACATACAGAAGGCCCCCAACTCCCGGACGGCCTGCTGGTCCCTGACAACGAGACTGGGAACCCGCTTCCTTGACACATCCCCCTCGACCGACTTGACACGTCCCCCTCGACCGACTGACAATACGGCATTCTGCAGACTAACTCCCGGACGGCCTGCTGGTCCCTGACAACGAGACCGGGAACCCGCTTCCTTGACACATCCCCCTCAACCGACTGACAATACAGCAGTCTGCAGACTGCACCTCTACAGCTCACGTCTTCGGTTTACAAAGTGAAAGGGAAGTTTCACAGTCACCTGTTGATGCAGGTGGACAGAGAGCCAAACTGGACAGTTCCTGTCACATCCTGAGGACAGAGCCGGGTCTGCGTGTTCGCTGTTGTATCACCGGTGCCCCCCGAGGGACGGAGCACATGGTAGGCACGCTCACCGCTCACCGAGTCTCGGCGAGTTCTAGGTAAACGTCTAACTCGAGGTTACGAGCCATTCTGGCACATCGGCTATCCAGCATTCGTCCTCCTCACGCGCACTAGAAAGCTGCTCATTCTGCCTTTTGCTAAACTCGGTAGATTAACCCGCCAAATCCGGATGACTCGATCCTCCTTTCTAAGTCACTCAAATCTCACGTGTTGTACAACGGGTGACCGCATATAATTTATTATTGTCCACGGAAGAGCAACTTTCAAGGGTGAAAAGATGCACAATCAGAACTGCCACTGGGACCACAGGCATGAACTGGCGCTCTCTGGGGCAAACCGGGACGCGATCGCGCTAATTTTAAGTACGGTGTTAAAGAATCTCTACTCAACCAAAACGAAGTCCAACTACGTATGATGGACCTGTTTGGAGCCGTGCTGATGAAGAGTTAAATGTG